GAACCATGAGAGACTATGGACTCTGAGAAACAAACTGAGGGTTCTAGAGGGGAGGGGCATGGGGGGATGGGTTAGCCTGGTGATGGGTATTAAAGAGGGCATGTACTGAATAGAGCACTGGGTGTTATGCGCAATGAATCATGGAACACTGCATCAAAAACTAATGATGTAATGTATGGTGATTAATATAACATAATAAAATAAAAAAAAAAGAATTTCTGTCTTCTATTTATCTCTTTATCTACCACACCATCTAGGCATGTGTGTTACACATCATAAACTACAATAATTGCTTACTGAATTGAATTAAACTCCTTGGACTTTTATTCTCAGTTTCCTTAGTCTGGTCCATTCCTAACATCCAAATTTACTTGTAGGGACTCTTCACAATCTGTTCATCTAGCATTATATTCACTCTCCCCTAAATGTGTTCAGTTCATTCTTCTTACCATATCTGGACATGATTCCTCTTTTCTCTGTACAGTTCTCACTACTCTTTAAAGTTCAGCTCAATTTCAAAACCTCTCTCATAAATCCTTCCCCAACTCTTTCAGTCCATGTTGATCTCTATTCCCAGTGAATTCCTAACACTCCTCACTTTGTGTTGTTATTTCTTGCTAGATTTCTAATTGTTCCTAATTACCAAACTCACTCTGATCTTTGACTCTTTTCCCTTCCGTCCTTACTATTTTACTTTTGAATTGTTTATATAATTTTTCCTGTGTATTAATTTTGTGTGTCCAGCTACACTATAATGTCTTTAGAAGGAAAAAGTACGTCATATTTTCTTATATCATTTCCATATTCTACCACTATACTATGGAAAAAGTAGAGGTTCAAAAATATATATTAAATGAATGAATGAATATGGGGGGAAGAAAATATACTAAAAGTGAGTATTGCAATTAATAGCTTTGGAAAAATCATTCAAAGAAAATAATTTTGCATTTTGAATATGATGCTTGTAGGTTTTTTGAATATCATTTTCTTTTATTATCTGATTTGTACCTTAGTTAGTCCATTAGATAAGAAGAGAATAAAGTTTAATGTATATAAAACCTGCTTTATGTACCAGCAGTGATTGGCAATAAAAGTCACTAAATGTTATACAACAGCTAATAAAGGACGTTGGAGAATCCATGAAGAAATGCAAGACAAGAGTAGAAACCTATCTGGAATGATTTTGGTAAAGTTTGCCCTAAGGCTGGTAGAATTATATTTCCTTCCACACTATGATTTACAAAGCAAGAAAAGAGTATTTGAATAGGAGATGAAGAGACCAAGCTCTTAACCACCTTGCTTTTGAAACTTGTAAGTCTATCCCTTACAAATGTAATCAGCTCAGCAGTAGACAAAAAGCATTTTGTTTTGCAAAACATATTCTGCCATTCCCCTCCCCACCACTGAATTAAGAGATTGAACAAATCTCACTGGAACTTAATGTCTACCTCGCCAATTCTTCCACCCAGGCTTCTTAATGTTTACCTTCCATTTACTTTATCCCTGGCCTCAGTTGTTTTCTTTTTTGGAAAACACTGATATTTAGGTGATTCTAATGAAATTTCCCCTCTTATAAGTAACACAGATTTACTTATATTTACAGTAAATCTCACCAAAAAGATCTATTTTGGGGGGAGAAATAAGACACAGTAAGGGGTGGAAATGTCAGCATGAAGGAAACTATTTTGCTCTCAATGAGATTGTTAATATTTATTGAATGTAAGAGCCCTTTAAAGTGACTCTGTTAAGGGAAGTGGATCACACCCATTTTATAGGTTTTATATATGATTTTATATGCAGCTCTACTTGCTCACAGTTGGCGTGTGTGTGTGTGTGTTAGCAAAGAAAGTACAATTTAACTTGTAACATGACTAAAAGGGAGAAATAGATAACTAATAATAAAGATATTGTGGTTATCACAAATAATACAGTGGGAAAATCATGGAATTTTGAGTAAACTGACCAGGACTCCAGACATGGCTCTTTGCAATATCTAAAGACAATGACTATAGAAGAGCCATGGTTTTATATCTATCAAATGGCAGTGACATTAAAAACTATTTCATGAGGATTTGTGAGTAGATTAAATAAATAATACAAAATGCTTTGTATGTACAAAATTAATATTTTAGTAATTAAATCTAAGACAAGATCCAGAGTCCTTCCCTTGGTCTTTAAAAGCACTTTGTGATCTTGTTTGTAACCATCCACCCGACCTCATCTCCATCACTCTATCTCTAGCTCACACCACACTAATAACTTTGGTTTACTTGTGTCCCTGAAACACAACTAATTCTTTTCGGCCACAGGGTCTTTGCACGTGTTATCACATATATTTTATATACAGTTTTACTATATAGTTTATTTTAAATGGTGCCCACTTCTCTACTCTTTTCATTTTAACGTGTTTTATTATTTTTCTAGTACTTACTACTAACTGACATTATGTGTTTTCTTTTCTTTATTGTCTAGCTCATTCTCTACAACTGAACTCCAAGAAAATGGAGTTTTGCCTAATTTTTTGCTACTCTCACCTCAGAACTAGAACACTATCTATGGCACAACAGATGCTTAATAAATCAAATAATACATAAGCGAATGAATGCAAGAATGATCTTTCATTGAGTCCTTAATCTACATGAGGCAATCTGCAAAGTGCTTTATATGGATTATCTAATTTAATCATTACAATAAACCTATTATAATTTCTATTTCATAAATGAAGAAAACAGAGATGACAATAATTTGTTTGAGGTAAACACAGTAAGTGATTGCCTGACTCCAAAATCTATGCTCTTAATCACATCTATAAAGCCTGTGTGTATCCAGCCATCTTTATATTAATTGATGTTTGATTAGATTGTTACAAAACAGCCTGAATTAACTATCAAAAGAGCATTTATATAGCTTAACTTGATCCTCAAAATAAATGTACGTATTCAGTAGCTAAAAAATAAGCCAACTCCTAGAATCTGAAAAGCCAGCCTTTGAAAATAGTTCAGAACAAGAATCAAAAGAGCCAGGTTTGTTTTCACAGGTGACCAAGGTAAGACTTACCTCCAGGTGACCAGCTATTGTAGCAATATGGAGGGCAGTGAGGCCACCATAGCCAACCTGCTGTATGTCAGCTCCACTGTGAAGCAGAGAAGTGATCAATTCTGCACTGTCCTGTAAAGAAACACATCTTTAGTGTTACTTTTCTACTAATAGCAGGTTTGGACACTGTGCAACAGGATATATTGATTCCCTGACTGTCAGCCAGTTTAGGCGCTCAAAGAAAACCTAAGTGTGATTTCTGGTATAAGAGCACATGAGACAGCAGAGAGCAGCTCTCAAATGCTTGAAATGTAGGAACAAATGACAAGGCTATTCAGTTTCAATCAATCCTCTACCACTTGACCATGAAAGATAGAAAGGACATTACCTATGGTGAGGCTCTTGCAAACTCAACTCAGTCTTATGTGTAGGTCACTCCGAAAAATGTGCTTTCGCTGGCAACTGCATGATTGGACTGACTGCAGTGGACTATTTCCTGGTAATTCGGTAATTACTTCTTCTCTACATATGTGTCATGGTTCCTATACACATTAATGACACATAGTGTCATGGCCCTATACATAATTAATCAGTAGTGTCTTTCTTAACTCATTTTAACAGTGAAAATGCTTGAAGTAGTATTTAGGCCTTTGAATTAGAATAATTTATGCAATGGCCAAAGTGATCCTTACTTTCCTTGTACTATTATTTGCAGTGTATCTCTGTCCTTGGAGAGACAGGGAACTTTTCACAATATTTTTTTTTTTAAAGATTTTATTTATTTATTTGAGAGAGAGAGAATGAGAGACAGAGAGCATGAGAGGGAGGAGGGTCAGAGGGAGAAGCAGACTCCCCGCCGAGCAGGGAGCCCAATGCGGGACTCGATCCCGGGACTCCAGGATCATGACCTGAGCCGAAGACAGTCGCTTAACCAACTGAGCCACCCAGGCACCCAACTTTTCACAATATTAATAGCAATTTACATTCACTGAATTTTTATTATGTAATGATCCTTTCATATGCATTAACTTATTTAAACCTGGTACATGGTAGGGCTTTAAAAATGCTTAATAAAAAAATAAAATAAAAAATAAGTATTTATCTAAATTATCCTATGAAAATTACTATTATATACCTTATTTTGTAAGTCAGAACACTCAAAAGAGTGATATGGAGGGTCACATATTCATAATACCCCACAATTGGAAGGGAATGCAAAGAACAGTCTTCATGTTTAACCCTCTCTCTCAAAGTAAGAATTCAAACCATAACTTCTTTAATACTTGGCCCACCAACATCTCAAACACACTCTGTGGCAAGAAAGTCAAGTCTTCATGAGATAGGTCATTGCACTTATCCATAAACATATTATTTCAAACTGTTGGTTAAGAAAATCCTCTCATTTAAAAAAAAAAAAGTTTGATTTCTTAATCCTGTTACACATAACTGAAGGTTATAAAAAAGGAGAAGTTATAAAAAAGTGAAAAAACTTTGGTAAAAAATTCTAAATAGCAAAATTAATGTTATAGTTTCCAAATTTTCTACTCTGCACACCTGTTCTACTAAATAAGTTAAAGATTTTGTGTTCCTTTACTATTCCTTTGGCTCCTTCTGTTCAGATACAGACCTGCGTTTTCTCCATTCTTTTTTTTCCCACTAAAGCTAAGCTAATTTTATCTCTATCCTTGCCTTCATTTTCCAAGCTTCCATAAAAAGTTATTGACACTCACTGCTGACAGCTGTGATCTCATTTCTTCAGTAATCTCTAGCTATGTATACCCAAATCTTACATAAATCCCAACTGAGTTCACTATACTCCTTACACATTGAATTTTGCTCTTTCTCACACCATCTCTTCTCCCTTTGTGCTTGCCTTATATTATCAAGAGAAATTGCCATGCTAGTTTCTTCCACCTAAGACAGAAGGACTCACCATTGTCCTGAAATCACCTCCTCAGTTTCAGAAGGTAACCTTGTTTACCAAATCCAATGTCAATCCTCTTCCTGTCTATAGTCAGATGATCTCTTTCTTCTTGCCTCCTCTTTGTTTCTGTCTGCCTTCAAAAAGTGAGTTTAGCCTCAAGCCACTTTCTCATTCCAAATGCCACCATTGGCAATTCTTACACAATCAGATAACTTCATCTTTAGTCCAAATCCCTCTAAGTCCAAATTCCATACATCCTGCCTATCAATGGCATCTCAAATTCAAAATTCAAAATTGCTCTTGCAAATACCATTCATAATTTTCCCAGTGTTATCTGTCATCGCCTAGTATTTCTTATTCATATAATGACATTTTCTTGTTTCAAATGTCTTTGAGTCCTTCAACTCATTTAGTTTCAGAATTCTGTTGGTTCTAAGTCATTAGTACTTCCTACATTTTTTCTTATTTCTAACATCACCCTCCATTTTACAGTCTTCTCACTAGTCTCCGTGATTAAGCCTTTTCCCACCACAGTCCAGCCTCCATACTGCTACTAAATAAATATTCTTATGCACAGTTTTGATGACATTATTCTCTTTTTCAATAAACCTTTCATATACTTAACAAACACTTATTGAGCATATATGGTATGTGAAACACTGTTCTGAGCAGAGGGAACATGGCATTGTGTAAGACAGTTAAAATTCTGCTTTCATGGAGCTTACATTTGTACTGTATATACAGTAAGAGGAGAGACATAAAATAAATAAGAAGGGAACCTGGGTGGCTCAGTAGGTTGAGCAACCAACTCTTGATTTTGGCTCAGGTCATGGTCTCAGGGTCCTGGGATTGAGCTCCCCATCAGGCTCCATGTTCAATGGGGAGTCTGCTTGGGATTCTCTCTCTCCTGTCCCTCTCCCTCTGCCCCCACCCCCATGCACATGCTCTCTCCTCTCTAAAATAAATAAATAAAAATAAATAAATAAAAAATATTATATACAGTATCATAAAGTACCAATGACTGTGAAGGAAAACTAGCAAATGATAAAGTGGCTACTTTAAACTGAGTAGTCAGGGAAAGCTTCACTTCTCTGAGAAGGTACACTTTGAGATAAATGGTAAATACCAAAAGGAGAAATCCAAGTCACAATTTCAAGGGTGGCCACTGAAGATCAAGTAGCAGCTAAGTGTGAAACACATAATTTCCTAAGATGGAAATAAACTTAGTATGCTTGAAGGCCAGTGTTGAGTAGAAGGTTAAAAATAAAGAAAGGAATATTTGTTCTTTGGGTGTTGAGTTTGATAAGTTCTTTATAGATTTTGGATACTAGCCCTTTATCTGATGTGTCATTTGCAAATATCTTTTCCCATTCTGTTGGTTGCAGAGAAAGGGGAATCCTCCTATACTGTTGGTGGGAATGCAACCTGGTGCAGCCACTCTGGAAAACAGTATGGATGTTCCTCAAGACGTTAAAAATAGAGCTACCCTATGACCCAGCAATTGCACTACTGGGTATTTACCCCAAAGATACAAATGTAGGGATCTGAAGGGGTACATGTACCCCAATGTTTATAGCAGCAATGTCTACAATAGCCAAACTATGGAAAGAGCCTAGATGTCCATCAACAGATGAATGGATAGAGAAGATGTGGTGTGTGTATATATATATATAAAATTTATATATTTATACACACACACACACACACAATGGAATGAATATTATGCAGCCATCAAAAATGAAATCTTGCCATTTGCAACGATGTGGATGGAACTAAAGGGTATTATGCTAAGCGAAATAAGTCGGTCAGAGAAAGACAATTATCATATGATCTCACTGATATGAGGAATTTGAGAAACAAGACAGAGGATCATAGGGGAAGTGAGGGAAAAATGAAACAAGATGAAACCGGGGAGCCTGGGTGGCTCAGACAGTTAAGTGTCTACCTTCGGCTCAGTTCATGATCCCGGGGTCCTAGGATTGAGCCCCACATCGGGCTCCCTGCTGAGCAGGGAGCCTGCTTCTCCCTCTCCCTTTGCCTGCCACTCCCCCAGCTTGTACTCTCTCTCTCTCTCTGTTAAATAAAAAAAATAAAAATCTTAAAAAAAAAAAAGAAACAAGACGAAACCAGAGAGGGAAACAAACCATAAGAGACTCTTAATCTCAGGAAACAAACTGAGGGTTACTGGAATGGAGGGAGGCAGGAGGGATAGGGTGGTTGGGTGTTGGACACTGGGGAGGGTATGTGCTATGGTGAGCTCTGTGAATTGTGTAAGACTGATGAATCACAGACCTGTACCCCTGAAACAAATAATACATTATATGTTAATTAAAAAAAAAGGAAAAGTAATGTTCAAGATGAGGTCTAAGACCCCTGATTTTATAGGGCCTTGTAAGCCATGGTATTTGGTGTTTGAATTTTTTCCAAGTGCAATAGCTAGCAGGAGAATGACATGATACAGAGCTAGGGAAGAATCGGGAAGAAGCAGTTTTTGAGGTTGAAATAAAATATTTTATTTTTCACATGTTAAGTTACATGAGATCCTTAGGGTTAAGACTGCGGGTACTAGAATTACTCCAAAGTTAGAATACCAGCTCTGCTAATGACTGTCAACTGGGGCAAGTTACATAACCCCTTTACACTAAGTTCCTTGGTTATAAATAAAGGGGACAGGAACTGTATGTCCTGATGTGATACATATACAAACTGTGCATTCACAACTGATGTGATAATACGTTTAAAGTACTTGTAAGGTACCTGGCAAAATAATACTCAATAAACTTACTGCCATTGGACATAGAAGACTGGGGTTTAGTTTGATCCTCAGTGAAAACTTCCAAATAAGAAAGTGAATTGACTCCATAATCTAACTCCTGTTTCTCCTTTGCCCTTACCTCCTCCCCACAACTTTACTTCTGCTTCATTAGCTACCCACTGAATTAATCAAAGTATTAAAACATAGGAAAACTCTGAAGCAGTACTGGAAACAGGAAATGTCTACCAGTTCTGCTTCGTCCAGAAAAAACAAAACAAAACAAAACAATTCACAGGAGTTAACTCCAACCTCATCAATAACTTTTATTTTTAAATGGTGAGGGTTAAAGACAGGTGAGAGCTAAAGTCTCTGAGGTAAATGAAAAAGACATCACCTTAAAACATTTTTTTCCCTGCAGATGGATAGGCATTTAAATGCAGGGAAATGGAGAAA